GGTATTGAGACCCTCCCGTTCTTCATACCCCTCTACGTGATAATCCACTAAGTAGATAGATAGAAACGGCTACCGGATCGAGTATTAGAAAATTATTGGGTATATACTGTCCTTAGGATGAGATAATCAACAATGGGAGGGAGATTTGTGTGTAGAGTGAAGAGAATTTGATGTCTTCTTCAATCTCCAACATCCTGGAAAGTACCTATTGAGAGTGACTTTCCCGGTTGTTTAACTGTTTTTTAAATGATTGTGAGTACTACTTGATGAAAAAAGGGGTGGGGTTTGAGAAGGTAGTTTAGTTTCCGTTTCTGCAGAACATAATGAATTTTGGAATCGGGCATCATCTGGGGGGGGTCCGCTTGGAAAATTTTCGGAAACTGCGACCCCTCCTCTGATCTCCCCTCCCCCCTTCCCAGACCTAGCCACCACTGTCCTGGATTTCCACAACTTCCTCCCAGTTTCTCCGGGACTTCCCGAAATTTTTTTGTCGAGTGGGGAAGGGGGGAGGGTGGCTGTTGTGGGGGGGGTATATAGCACGTGTTGAAACGGGAAACAAACTCCGGAGCCAACAAGTCAACGGGAAAAACTTTCCCCACCCGTCGCAACTTTCTCACGAACGCAAATACGATCCCCTTCCCTTCCCAGCAAATATGACCCTCCTCTCTACCCCCCATCTAGCGTCCGCGAAACAAGAAAAATCATCTATCAAAAAAAATTTCCCCAGATTAAATATGACCCCTCCCTCCTCCCCGCCGGGCAATTCCCCAGTATGGGACGTGGTCTATTCGAGATTAGTAACACCATAAAGTAAAGAACCAAGTGTTCTTTTCGCCGGAAGCACTTCCTCTCGTAGATAGTGCTCATGGATGGCTTTTATAGATTTGTGACGTCAACACAACTATAACTCAATTTCTTTTGCCTGCCTGCCCATTTATCCTGTGGCAGTCCTTCGTCACTAGGTTTCTCATTGGTCATGCAAAGCAGTAAAAAAGTATTTGATCGTTCGGTTAGGAACAATGTCAGCTAAAATCAGTTTTGCTCAAAATTGTTAACTGGTTGAAACCTGTCACTCACTCAGTGGAGGTTTGGTTCTTCTGGAGAGCTGTGTTTAATACTTCTCTATTTGCATAAAATATTGGTTGTCTGCATTTCGGCTAGAATAAAGGAGTATCTACCGTCTCATAAGTTTCTCGAAAACCTGCGAATGTTTGCAGTTTTTTGATAAATCTGCCCATCAGAAGATAACTTCATCTTGACAGACCAAAGAGAAATGACTGACAAGTTCTGAGCGCTGCAGAGATATTCCCCATGAGGTTCACTCCTGCATTATCGTTTTTGATTCATACATATAGGCACTATACGAAAAAGAGCATTTGGGAAGGACGAACGTCGGAGCTTCTTTTAATGCATGTGAAATTAAGGGCGCAATGTGCCATAATAAACAGGGCACGTCGTGCGTTGGGGTTCCCTGCGGTTCCCCAGCGAGGGGTCTTGTTTGGTTATTGGAGGGAGAGTGGGAGGGTTTCGTATTTGCTTTTACGTCTTCAGAGAATTTTTTGGTTTGTTGGCTGTTACCTTACCGGTTTGTCCCGCTCCAGGTGCTTTATACTTATGCCCACCTCCATCCTTCCCCCCTCCCCCTTCCACCTCTCCTTACCAACCTTTTCGGCTCGACGGCAGTTTAGGGGAAAACGGAGGAATGTTTTGAAGACCCTGGTGAAGTAGTAGGAAAATAGGAAAAATTAGGAAGATGGGAAGTTAGTGATGATGTCTTCAAGTGGGAATCCAACCTGCACCCCACGTTTACCACCGGTATGTGCGCTACTCACCACGCCACCGGGGTTGCTTTCTACCTCTCAGCTTGATGGCTTTTCTGCCATAGCTTTACCGTGCTCACAGTCCAAGGTGATGAGCGGGCTGCGGATGGGTTCCGGTCCCCCCCCCCCCGCCTCCGAAGTCATTTCTTGCCCATAACAGCATTCTTGTGAGTCCGTCCTGCATTGCTCCCCCAGTAATGGAAAACCCAACAGCCATTCTGTCTGAAAGGTTTCTTACAAAGAAAACCCAACAGGCATTCTGTCCGAAAGGTTTCTTACAAAGAGCCCTGGTTTTCTGGAGAAATGGGGGCGGGGGCATTACACTATCGCTCGTTCCTTTTACTAATTTATGTTAACAGGTTAACAATCTTTGTCTATTTTGATGAGATCTGTAAACTCTCGTAAGTTGCGAAGTGATATAAGTGAGCCACTTTATCTCAAGGAATTACAGGTCTTCACTAGATGGGGTAAACTAGCTTCGCCAAGAACCATCTGGAGTCCCCACCAGGCCGAACTGCGGCTAGAAATGCCGCATCTGCGGATTTAGTTTCCTCTATTAATTAAAGGAGGTGAAATATTGATTGTCTCCTTTTACCATATTAAAACGATTGAGAAAACCGATTTCCTGCTGCAAGTATATATACCATTTTCACTTTAAATTCACCCTTTTTCAAACCAAATTCACCCTTTTTCAAACCAAATTCACCCTTTTCAAACCAAATTCACCCCTTTTCAAACCAAATTCACCCTCACTTTTCACATCAAATTAAACCACTTATAAGGGCGATCACGCCAGACATCACTGCGAGCCCCGCCCCGACGGCCACGCCCACTTGTCAGCGCGGACATAGATTCTCAAATCTTGTTTCATAACTTCTGCTTTTGCTGTTTCCCACAAACACTTTGACTGGAAACGACCGGGCATTGACACATGGCCGACTCCGCCCATTCTCTAAAGGGTTTGGCAATCTAGGCTGACCACGCCCACTTGCTTTTCGCGGACTTTCGATTTTTTTCAAAATTTTTGCATTTTAGGGCTGCTGCGTGAAGCCCCGCCCACTGTGAGAGGCTCCGCCCACTTTGAAAAAGCCCCGCCCACTTTTCAAAAATGGTGCAAATCGGCAGTATCGGCAGTATAGAGCCTTGGCTTGCATGCTAGGGTATTGCTGAGCATTCGGAATAAACTTTGCCGGATTTTCTTTGTTCCGAGTGAGAGGTCCTAGCATGCAAGCCAAGGCTCTATACTGCCGAGTTGCACCATTTTTGAGAAGTGGGCGGGACTTCTTCGAAGTGGGCGGAGCCTCTCACAGTGGGCGGGAGCTTTCACGCAGCCAGCCCTTAAAATCGAAAATTTTGAAAATATCGAAAGTCCGCGAAAAGCAAGTGGGCGTGGTCAGCCTAGATTGCCAAACCCTTTAGAGAATGGGCGGAGTCGGCCATGTGTCAATGCCCGGTCGTTTCCAGTCAAAGTGTTTGTGGGAAACAGCAAAAGCAAAACAAGATGAGAATCTATGTCCGCGCTGACAAGTGGGCGTGGCCGTCGGGGGCGGGGCTCGCAATGAAGTCTGGCATATTCTGCTTGATGATGCCCGCCCTTATAAGTGGTTAATTTGATGTGAAAAGTGAGGGTGAATTTGGTTTGAAAAAGGGTGAATTTGGTTTGAAAAAGGGTGAATTTGGTTTGAAAAAGGGTGAATTTAAAGTGAAAATGGTATATACAGGTTGCGCCAAGCTGATCAAGTTTTGTCTAGACTTGACTGAATCCACCACCAGCTCTCTAATTCAGTGGGCTCACTTCATTTTTTTCGCTCCTAATATCCAATTCATTTATTATGGTGTGTACGTACTATATGTACTTGAGACTCACCGAGTTCTAATCGCCTCATCTTTTTCCGTTTTCCGAAATTCCGTGTTCTACCCTTGAGTTTCAAATGTGACTTCTCCGACAAGCCCAACAAGTTCCATCTAGGGAAAAAATAAGGCGACCCAATGAGCTACACTGAACATTCCGGAGATAGAGTGGGCATAGCAGCGCATAGAGTGGGCGTGGCAGCGTACTTCATTTGGACGTGACGACGTCCATGTTCAAATGCAGTACGCAGCCACACTTTATCTACTTTCCTGATGGAGTAATAGCCTACGGCCAAACCTTTTCATACGCATTGCAACCCGGGGTTTGACGAATGTGCGCCAAACTGAGCAGCACCGGATTTGTTATCTCTCTATTCTTACTGAGTCCGCGCTCATTTGACTGCCGTAGGCGGACACTTCTAAGGCTCGATAACATGCCACGCTTTTTGCGACTATTTGATCATCGTGGTTATTAATGCCATCTGTTTATCAAACGCAAGCTCTTGCACTACCGACAAATTATCGAGTAGCGCATTCCTCGACATGCGCACCCATCGTGAATTGTAGATTGGCATGCGTTCATAGGCTTCGCGACGGCTCGCGCTTCGACTGTGCGCAGTTCCGTCACCGCTTGATCGCATGCATTTCGAAAGTATGGCGATCGATCGCCGTCGAATGCGCGACGGCCTGAACGTCGCGAAGTTTGAGCGCCTCCTTTGAGTCTGCCTTTGAGCCCCGCCTCGGGTCATAAGGTTTGTCCAAAACTTAGCGTTCTTGTCACAACTCTTATTATGATTATTGATTATTCTCCCTCTTACCTCATCCTTACTTCTCATATTTCAGGTTGATGGAGAATTCCGGCAATGGAGTACAATGCAACAAGGCGTGGTGGTATGGGCATCTCCTCTCTTCTTATGGACTATATACTTAACAGGTGCTCGTTCGCATATCGATCTGGAACCATGGTAACAAAATATTACTATTCCACTTTCTCGATAATCAGTTCTTTTTTTGAATGATCTTTTGCGGTTGCTTCATTGCCTTTACGTATCACACGTTATATAGATTACCTGGTGGCAATGGTTTAGCTGCAGTCACTTATTTGGTGGAAATGAACATATTTTAATTGGAATTTTCGGTGCAGGCATTTACTGTAGTAGTTATGGTCATTTTCGCTGCAGAGGCTCGGCCTGTCAGGGGGACTGGGATTGGCGCGGCACCGACTCGTCTTCCATCAATTTTTGACACTTCCCGCTTCAAGAAGCGGTGGGGAACGGGTTGGCGCTGCGCCAAACCTAGCCCTCTGACCTTACAGCGCCTGCAGCTAAAATGACTGCACTTACTGTTCAACATGTGTGTAAATTTTGTTACTTGGACAGTAAATAGTGACAGAACGTAGAATTTTTTGCTGCTTCAAAGGTTTTTTACAGGCACTGCCGTTTTCACACTGCTCACACCACCGTTCGCAAAAATGGGATACTGGGTCGTGGTCGTCGCTCGATTCGCTGAGGGATTATTCGAGGTGGGCGTGGTTCCCCACAACTATTCGTGCACTCATATTCCCAACAACTACTCGTGCAGTCATAACTCCTGCAAACGATGGTGTGTGAGGGGCATGGATTGCAGCCCTGCCACGGCCTTTTCCACGAATGATTCTATTTTGACTTCACAACGATTGGCTGAAAAGCTTTTCTGGCTGCGCTCAGGTTCATGCCTCTTCACAAGCCCTACCGTTCGCAGAGATCATGACTGCATATAAAGACGAAGAAGTGTGAATAAGCGAGGAGTTCATTAATTTTTTTCCAAATTTTACGGTATTTTCAAGTAACAAGTGTTTTCAACTTTTTTTCTGTAGAATCTGTTAAGGGGAATAAGCGTGAAAGAGCCAAGCTCGATGACTGTAAGTTACTGTTTCAAGGGTGTAACGTATCCGGCCATGCATGTGATGTGGAGTCATTGGGCACCGATACTGGAGAAGACGAAGTTGGCAACGTTCGCTTTTTCTGGTTCCTATTTTGGCACCGTCATATCAATGCCATTGTCGGCTGTGATTGGTCAGACACTCGGATGGCCATTCATAT